GCCTAAGAGAAGCAATGGGCCACAGCCTGCAGCTTTGGGTGTCCTTCTGCGAGCACTGAAAATTAGCAGTGACTAGCAGCGTTTGAAGCCTTACCTTCCGGACTCAGCGCTTGGGTTGTGTAGGGATTATACAGGCAGGGTAAAACCTTAAACCCTTAACATCCTAAGCTGGAGGTATGTTGACGACAAGAGAGTCTTATACATTACGACTGCGCCTTATGCAGCCCAGGATACCACGTATGATTTGGAGACTCTTGGCCGACCGACTGTTGGCCTCTAGGCCCTGACTAAGCCGAAATCCTAAACCGAAACCCCTCAACCCTAAACCCTAGACCCGGCCGTTACCCTAAAACCACTGAGCCCTAATTCGAGGGTTGAATTTTGGAGTGATGCTGCTGGACTAATGGCCTCGCGAAGCCTCTCGGCTCAAGTATGTTGACGACAAGACCACGCAGGTGTGCAGGTTAGGTTAAGCATGAGGTCATGCAGCTCATATATGCCATCCAAGGATGCCATTTTAGTACGATGCTGATTTCTGGGTCTGAGGATACGTGAGTCGCCTGTAATTCCACCAATTTTCAAAGAACCCCAAGGTGTTTCAGAAAAAACACGGGCCAGAATCCAGACAGATTGATAATGTGTCTCGAAGTAGTAGCCCATCACCGTAATGTCAGATTAGTTGAAGGCCCGAAGGCTGAAGGCGCACCGCAAGTGTAGGTGCAAACGGGCCCGCCGGACGCAAAAGACTTCAAAGCAGCTGCAGTTCCAGCCAGCCGGCTTTTCACCACGCTTGGCAGACTGGGATAGGAGAGAGAGCGAGGGGGACAGACAGACATAGAGAACGAGAGTGTGAGCAGTTCGGAAGCTTCTTCCCACTTCCCGAGAAACACACAGCGGACTCCGCGGACCAAAAAGCACTGCTTCGCTGACTTTGCTGCTGCAGAATTGCTGAGTGAGTGCGTTAAGTTCGTTACAGTATTTGGTCTTTTTTGCTGTTTCATTGTATGCTGATGGGCTCAGGGGTTTCAGGTCAAGAAGCCTGCAGAATGCAGCATTGACGACAACGTAGCCTGCACTATGCCTCTGGATTGCAGCAATTGAGCAGCTGAGGCAGTCAAGTCGGGCAGTTCGGCGCGTCTCAAAACTGACAAACACCAGCGGCAAAAGTCACAAGACGCACAAGCCGGATCACTAATCACGATGTCATACATGCCGTGCAAGCAACCGACCACTGACATTAATAGGCGCCTGGATTTGGTGGGATCCGGGGATCCGTCAATTCATCCCCTCTTCCCAGGGCCCCCTCTTGCCCCCCAATTCAACAAATTGGTTGTATGAGTTCCGGATAAACAACCATCCTTTCAAGGCATAAGTTTGGCAAACACGCCTACCCGAAAAATAAAACGCAGCTCCATTCCTGAACCACCCTGAATTATGAAATTTGGCAGTTCTCACTGCTATCGACGAAGCTAGCAGTGCCTGTGCAAGCAGGCGAATGCGATGAAGAATCACAAGAAGTTCAAGAAGAGACATTTAGAAGAACAATAGCGCGAGTTTCGATGAAAGGTGAGCACAAGGATTGTCCAAGAGACTACTGGAGTTGATGAGCTTGTCTGAGGCAAGAAAAGAGGCGTGAAAGAAGAAGTGCAAGGAGGCCTGAAGCAAAGTTGCAAGCATGTTGCATGTTCTGTTCACCTTTTGTGTGTTCGGACGGGAGGAAAGAAATGGGAAAGAAAAAGGAAAAAGAGAAGAAAGGATGACCAAACTCAAAGGTCAAAGAGATGGTTACGGTCGCGAAGAGCACAAACGCGATGAATCTGACCATGCCGAAAAAGACCTTTAGAGAAGATGAATTTAGATCGAGAAGATAACCTCGAAGAACGAGATGAGTTCAAAAGCACGCCGGAACCCAAGGAGTTCTACAAGCATAATGGAGAAGGAAGGCAGAGCCAGGCACAAAGAAAATGCTTCTGAACGGCGCCAGGAAATGGTGCGAAGAGCGAACGAAGAAGCTGAAGAAGCAGAAAAAGACAAGGAGCCAGCAGAGAATGAAAAAAAAAGCATTTTTTTGGCGTATGCGGGCCTCGTCGACTACGGCTGTAGCACTCGGTCCCTACAAACAAACAAACAAACGAAAACAGCGGTGAAACCAGATACCTAATTAAAGAGGGCGAAACTAGCTGCGGCGCACAGGCTTTGCCGGTGTTTGCCGTTCAGCACCAGCTACGGGTCCTCAGCGACCGTTCCACAACAACAGTGGGCCGTCGCCCAGAGCTGTCCAAGACCATCAGTGGAGCCCAAGTCAAGGCTCCGGCCGCCGTTCTAGTTCCGTCGAACAACGGTCGGCCCCGAGGTCCTGTTGTGTCCCGATCGTGCACGGAAAAATCCACAAGTCCAGAAGCCCAAGGCCAGGGGCAATGGCAAGACCCGTCGACGTATGTCGAAAGGTTGGACACTGTGGCCGGCCAAATGGGTCCAGAGTCTGAAAGGGCCTCGCTCCTAGGTAGGGGGCCATTGATCGAGCAGGCGCTGCATGTCGTTGCCACTTCTCGGAAAATGAGATTCTCGCAGAAGGTACAGCAATTGGTACTGGCCCTCATCATACAAGTCTTTGAGACGGTGGAAGCCGTACTGGAGGGTGTCTTGGTCTGGTTCATGAAGATGCGGCATGAGCTCTGCGGAGATGAATGGAAGCTGGATGCCAGGGCCAAGTCCACCCTGTTCCATGAAAGTCTGGGCCGCTGCACGCCAATCGTCTTGTGATTGGATTCCTGTGCCACTAAGCGATGGATCAGAACTTGGGCCCGGCAGTCCCATGCATCGAAGTGGGCATAGCGCCACAGGCGTACAGGGAAGTAAAAGTCCATTTTCCGAGGGCCGCATAACCAAAACACAACAACGGCACTGAGCTCCCAACCCCGGGCGATGGCGGCCGTGCGAAGACGACACAATGCGGCGTGCAAAAGTCCAGCAGACTGGAGGGGAAGAGCGGGCTGCGCCCGCAATCCCAGGGAGGCATCATCTAGGGGAAGCAGGAGGCGAAAAGTGCCCTTACAGAGGCCAGGGTAGGAAAACATTTGTGGATTGAAATCGCCGCGCCTTGCTGGGAGAAGTCCTCGATGAAAGCCTTCCATCATGCGGGCAGCAATCGCAATTTGGGGTTGGCCAACCAGAGAGGCCGGCACTTCCGCCTTGACTCTGAGTTCAACAAACTGCAGGCCATTGTGCTCGACTGGTGCAACACGTACAAGCTGCAAGAGAGGAGCCGCCTCAGGCTCGTCGGTCAGGGCCCTGGCTAAATAGAACACAAGCTGTACAGGGAGCAACACACCACAATGGAGAAGGGGAGTGCCTTGCTGCGGATCTATGTGCGATCCGCCTTCAGCCGTGGGTCGCCGGGTGTTGGAGCCGGTGCCACGGTGGCGTTTGCCGGCCTCGGCAGGCCCTCTCCGAGGCGCGGGAGACATTTGGATGAGGCTACCGTCGCGGACAGGTGACTTGATACCCGCTTTGGCATTGGGAAGCGAGAACCGGAGTCCATCCAGTTCGTCCAATAGCAACCACCACCATATCTCCGGACGCGCCAACTCATACCACGATAGATCAAAAACTCGACCTTCGGGCAGCCGTAGCACCGGGTCACAGAACTGAGCAAGGGCAGTGGAAACTGCCAAAATGGGTGTGAGGCACACCCGGAAAGCCTCACTGGCCGTACAATGTCGCAGCATGAGTGCGCGATCGGCAAAGTCTACCACACACGCTCCGAAGTTCTGAGGGCTGATCTTTACTTCGCATGCAGGCAGCGAAAGGGGAAGCGGTAGGAGGGAGAGGCAATCCTCTCTGCTGAGCAGAAGATCCCGTAGAGCCGTTGCACTATCAGAGCCCTCGATGAGCCGCTGTCGTCTGCCCGTGGCCTGAAAGTTGCGAAGGATCGCGTGTTGTTCTCCAAAGTCATCCTCCTCCTCCTCAGGCGGGACACTCTTGCTGGGGATTGCATCAACCCCTGGCACCAGGCGGTCAGGCGGGATGTCAACGGCATCCAGCAATGTAGCCACACGCTGGCTCCATGCAGTGTCAGGCGCCTTGGGGACGGAGGCGGCACAACTTTGGCTGCGGAGCTCGGCTGTCAGGCCAGGATCCTCTTTAGTAGGCACACCGTCCTCCGGATCGGGTGATGCAAATCCATCGGTATCATAGAGAGCACGGGGCAGACTGGTGGTGGCGGCCGGTGGGAGAAGAGCATCTAGCAGGCTGAATTTTTGCAGTAGCGTCGACACAAAGTGTTGGAGCCTCCCCAGCAATACCGTGTCAACTGTGTCAGAAGCAATGGCATAAAGGTAGAACACACCAGGGACGGAGGCGACTATCACCCCTGCAGCCTCTTTCTGACCCCGGCACACGGTTGTTTGTGCGTCAATCGTGATGTGTGCCCCGATTGAAGACCGATGATGCGGGGAACGGAAGGCAGCATAAGCTCGCTTGGGCGGCTTCAAGCCCATCCCCTTGTGTGCACGAAGGCGGTGGAGGCTAAAGCGTGGCGGGTCCGTGAACTCCAGCACTCCACAGATGGGGTTCTTGGTGTCGAGCACAGGGTAAAAAGGGCGTACTCGAACAGGCTGCCCCAGGCTCCTTATGACGTTGTTTGTCTGCAAGAGATACATCATGGTCTAGGGAAAGAGTCTACGCAGTGGCGATCCTCTGGCTGGACCTTTATTACTTCGGTTGATCCCAAGACTCGTTTCCAAGGTGTGGCTGTCCTGCTTCGAGAGGCTCTCTGCATCACAGGCGAGGTCCATTTCCAAGAAGCCCACACTGGTCGATTATTACATGTACGGCTGGCTCAGGACCTCCACTCCATAGACATTGTCTGTGGATACCAGTTTGCACTGCACCAGGAGGCCGACAACAATAACCTTCTGCACCGGCACAAGTACTGGGATCGTTTGGGAGCTCTGCTTCACAACTTGCCCCAGCGTAATCTTCTCATACTTGCTGGCGATATGAACTGCACACCAGAGTTTGTTGAGGGCTCCATGGGACATACCTACGATGCCTCCGCGAAGTATCCGGACTCTGGGGAGTTTGCGGCTCTGCTGGAGGCCCATGGTCTCATCTTGCTCAACGGCTGGATTCGTCGACGCCTGCAGCCCACCTTTGTAGGTGCCAAACACCAGTCGGTGATTGACTTCGTTATCACTCGCAGGCAGCACGCAGATGCATTGGCCAGGCGGGCCAAACCTTGCCCGGAGCACAACTTCAGTCCATGGCGTATGGGGGGCAGGCATTATGCTGTTGTCACCAGCCTTCCTCTGCATCCAGGCTGGACCCGTCAATCTCCTCGGGCTCCCCCGCCTCAGCTCAAGTACAACAAGCAAGAACTTGACCAGGAGGCTCGCGAGGGGGGACCACGGATGCTTCAACTTCGGCAAAATCTTCAAAAGTATCTGGCCCAGCATGCCTCTCCTACACTGGAGCACGTCAATGACTTTCTGTTGCAGCAGGTTATCACTGCCTTTCCGCACAAGCCTTCTTCGCCAGCTCCCCGAGCATGGCAAACACAAACGGTGCAGGGCTCAGTCACTGCCATGTGGCAGGCTCGAGCTAGACTACGACAAGTCAAGCAGAGACACTGCCGGGCGCTACGAGCATGCATGGAGGCTTTTAAAAGACATCGTGAGTTCATGAAGGCATACAAGCAGCTGAAACTCAACGGTCGCCAGGCTCGGAAGACCCTACTCAACAGGGAGCTCCAGAATGCGGCAGAGGCTGCTCACAGGCGGGACGTGGGGCAACTACACCGCATCATTCGCCGACTTGCCCCAAAGGTGAAACGAGATACTGTGAGAATACATGGCCCTCAGGGCGAGATGCTTAGAGATGCTGACGAACATCGAACCATTGTCCGGCACTTTGAAGCACTCTTCCAGTCCCGTACGGCGGCCATATCAGCTACTACTACATCTGCTGCGCCACCACAGGTGACCGTCAACGATGTGGCCCTTGCTCTTCGCTCCACACCGTATGGCAAGGCAGTACCTGAAACTTCTGCGCCGTCCAGTGTCGTGAAGTTCTGTGCAGATGACTTGGCTCAGGCCCTTGCACCTTCGGCGAATGCCTGTCTGAGCGGGGCCTGCACTCCGCCCCTGCTGGCTGATTGTCTGCTGACCCTAATCCCTAAGCCTCTCAAACCTGCCAAACGTCCTGAAAATTTACGGCCATTGGGGTTACAAGATTGCCATGCTAAGGCTTACGCTAGGCTGATCAAGCAACTACTCCTTACTGAGGTTGGGCCCACTCTAGAGAAACTCCCGGTCTTTGCATATATCCCCGGCAGAAGCACGGACGATGCAGTAGCAAGGGTAATTTCTCATTGCACTTCTGTTCGACAAGCCCACCAACAGCAGCGCTCCTCAGTGCATACGTATCGACAGAAGTGCAGCCGTGCCTCGGTGTCTGGGGGCCTACAACTGGCGATAGATCTTTCAACAGCTTTTGATCTTGTACCCAGTGATACCCTACAACAAGCACTGGAATGGGCTGGTGCCAGTGGGCCTCTGGTAGCTGCCATTATGGATCTGCATTCTGTCTGTAGATACACTATCAGACATAAAGGCCACACCTCCATGATACATATGCGCAGAGGAGTCAGACAAGGGTGTACGCTGGCTCCACTACTCTGGCTGGTCTTTAGTGCCTACATGACGTCTCGGATAGCACTGCAACTCCCAGAAGAGTGGGTACAAGAACATTTGACCCTGTATGCGGATGACACCCATGCCAGCTTTGCCACTGACAGCATTGCAGATGTCAAGTTCGCCTTTCGGGCCATCCAAATTATTTTTGAGGTCTATAGGAGCCACGGCATGCGAGTCAATCCAAGCAAGTCTGGAGTAGTACTGGGAGTTCGAGGGCACGATGCTAAGGACCTCTTACAACAACACATTCAAGGTAAGGATGAAGACAGCTGTCTGGTTTTGGGTATCGGCCCCTCGACACTGAAAATACCCATTAAGAAATCCATGCTGTATCTTGGAGTATATGTGTCGTATGGGAACTTCGAGCTGGAAACATTAGAGCATCGCCTTAAAGCGGCCCAAGCTACCAGATGCCGCTTAGCCAAAGTTCTGAGTGCTCGTAAATATCTTACGCTTGCACAAAGGCTGCACCTTTATGTTCTCTGCGTACGGTCGGCGGCCCTTTATGGTTTAGGCCCGGTAGGCTTCACCTCGGCTAGTCTCCGTAAGCTGCAAATCTTTGAGGCAAAACACATCAGGGCTATAGCTCGCTCACCTGTGCATCTTACCAGAGAACCTACGGCGACACTATATGCCAGACTTCATCTGAAGCCGGCTGCTCAGCAGCTGCTTAAGATCTTGAAGGGGAGGCTCCCGCAGACGGAGGGAACCATTGCCCCCTCGATTGGTCATCATGGCTGGGTTCGCGAACGGTATCAGCACCTACAGGATCTTTTGCACCTTCAATCGGCAGGTCTGCAGGAGGCTCCCAGCGTACAAGAGGTTGCCTGCCCTACATGTGGCCAATACTTTGGTACGCTTAAGGATATGCGGGTTCATCATGCCACCACCCATAAGCAGCCCCTTCAACCTAGACCCACAGGACCAGCCTCTGCCCTGCACTATGTACGAATCCAAGATCATTGCTTGGGCAACATGCCGGTGTGCAGACACTGCAAACAGAAACTTCACAACTGGCATAACTTTCGATTGCACATAGTGGCTAGCTGTTCTGTTTTGCACGCTGGCTTGTCTGGCAATACTACCGAGCTTGCTTTGCGGGACACTGCGGAGCTCGAGACATCAGTGCCTGCTTTGCAGTCCGCTGCGGGGCCTGAGCTCTCTGTAGAGATGGAGACATTCGTTCCCATTGCTGAGCGTGCAAACTTTCTGAGACTCATTGACACCAGCGAGTGGAAGCATGCACTCTGGCTTGAAGGGGTTCGTGAATAGCTGTGCAATCATTGTATTCTGTGTGCTCAGTGGGTCTCTTCTGCACCTGGAGCTCTCAACAAGCATATGTTCTCCCTGCATCCGGAGATGCTCGATATAAACCAGACGCAGTGGCTCATAGCTTGACGTTACGGGAGGGGCAACAACGCCCCTGTGGTGCGTGGAGCTCGGCCCTTTCACAGAACCAAGCATAAATGCCGGGTTCTCTATCAGCTCTGCCTACTACGTCACTCCCGACTGCAGGCCCTCTCAACTCCCCGGCTGCTTTCTGATCGACATGGACGCCCAGAGTGGAGCCGAAGCCCTGGCGCAAGTTCAGGACATGTTTCCTCACCTGGCACCATCGACTACCACAGGAGATGCCCCGATGGAAAGTGCACCTCTGACAGGTCGGAGAGAGAGGTAGGAGGACAAGGCCGAAGCAGCGGAACCCCAGGACAAGTACCGGCGCCCGGCTGGGAAAGGTCAGAACCCCCCTACGGGGAAGAGCCCGCCTCGGGAGAGCACCCAAGAGCCCGCATCAGCCTCAGCTGGCCACACCAAGCAGGGACGAACCCGCCAGTGGACGGACCAGGCGGACTGGCAAGCTCAGACCACCCAAGCTGGGTGGAACAAGAACAAGACCACCAAGGAGCTGCAGAAAGAGATGGAAGCCCTGAAGGAGGACGTCCGCCTCCTGTCTCGCATTGCCATGCGACACGAGGACGAACTGAGCCAATGTCGGACGGAGACCGACTTCATTCTGACCCTGGAGGTTGCGGACCCCAAAGCTACCCAGGAGCAGGAAGGCATCTTGGAATAGCTCTACAAGATGACCGGTCGTATGGAAACAGCAACAGGAGGCGGGCAAGGCCAACAACTCCTTACGACTTACTTTGTTCAATTATAGGACTGCTGCTGTACAACGAGATCAAGGTCCAGGAGGCGACGGCTTCGGCAGAGTCAGTGGAGAACCTGGCCCAGCAAGGCTTGCTGATCCAGGTCAAGGGCAACCCGGCTTGGACCTATCGCCAACGCCAATGGGATCACCAGCAGGAGGCCTTGATTCAGTCCAAACAGCCTCCTCTTCTCGACACGGCGCTTCGAGGCCACCTACAGACCCTGAAGACCAGCATGGGGTCCTTGAGCGCTGCTTCGCTTCAACAGTTCGCGGAAGCTTGTGGAAAAGCATCAGACGGCGGTGACGTTCTTCCTGAGCATCGGCCACGCGATCCCCTGGCCCTGGTATGCTACCGAAGTTTGCAGGCCCTTTGCTACAATTCTTCCAACCAGCTGCTAAAAAATGCGCCTCAAGCCCATGCGCATGGAACGCCACTGGTTCGCATCATCCAGGAGACGTACCCGGCTCCCCCCACGCGCTCAGAGGAGCAACGGGCCACGTATCTGGCGAAGCAGATGCAGAAGGGGTGCAAGGGCAAAGGGAAGGGCCGCGAAGCCCGACCGGAGCAGACAGCTCCGGAGCCAGCGGAGGACCCCTCGCTGACGGCGGCAGCAGGGCCCCAAGCGAGCCGCGGAGCTTAGTGGAGCAATGGGCAGCGAGGCCGGTCCTTCGACTTGCTCTCCTAAATCCACACCAGCTCTGCTATGCGAGTTCAGTGGTTCTTGCATTTTTGTGGATGGGAGCGGTCTACAGGTCCGGTTGCTGCAGCTTTGATTCGTTTGGTCAGCTCGAAACGCATTACTTCGCTCTGAAAGAACAGGGCTTATGCAGCATCCGGGCTGGAGGTCGCTACTACAAGCGTGGAGGCCGAACCTTCACCTGCAACAGGACGCTGCGGAGTTTCTGGTATTTCTTTTGGAGCATGCGATGCCCCGGACCTATGAGTCGTGCTCCGTACTCGATTGGCCACTCACGATTTACCTTTGTGGCCGACCGAGGACAATGCTTGGAGCCCATTGAAATTACAATTCATCCCGATGGTTTGCAGGCAGGTATCACAGCTTGGCACAATCAGCACCCAAAACATGCTTTATTTCAGGCCCCTACAATGCTCTTTCTGAGAATCAAGCGGTATTCTCAGCTGGACGGCAATGCACGCAAATCTCTGCAATACTTTGACTATCAGGTTGAGCAACAATCCAGGTGCCCGTCAGCACTGGAAGTCCGATGGGAGAAGTATGCCATCATGGCAATCATCTTTCACACTAGACCACGTGCGACTTCAGGTCACTATCAGACGATTGTGAGTGCATACAGCTTGCACCCTACATCGTCTGGTGGGTACAATTTGTATCTGACAATGGTCAAAGTGATAAACTCTGCAGATCGAGTATCATTGCACTCAAGGCACAACTGCTACCTGTTTGGGCTTGTTAAAGTACCCAATCCGGCCTGACTGCTTCTGCACCTGTGCTTCCCCGTTCGTCTGAGCAGTTCATGGTCCTGTACAGTACAGTGCTGACTTGACGCTTTGTGTAGCTGTGCTTTTAAGATAATGTACAAGCCTCGCTTTGTCATGCGTGACGGGGGCTGGCACCTGCTTTGCCATTCGTGGCGGGGTGTCACCAATTATTTTGTAGTCTTGGAGAGTGCACATAGTTCTCACATGTGTAGCTTTGCCGGGCAAACGCCTGCTCTCTGTTTAGCGGTCGCAAAGCGTCCCCTCAACCTGGACGCTGCGTGTTGAATGAATGAAAAACCTGTGCCTGCCGTAGGTGTAGCTGCGTAGTTGTAGCCGTAGGCTGTGCCAGGTACGCTGTGCTCAGCTGCTTTGCAATCCTCATCTGTCTACTCTTGCAGTCCGTTTCACTTGTGGTAGTCCGAAGCTGGCATAAGTGCTACTGCACTGGTCCCACCCTCCTCACCCACGCCCCCGAAGGGGGCGGTCGCCAGACCGTGTTTCGCCCCGTGCAAAATGAGTGAATGTGCGATTGCATCATATGCCGCATTATTTGGAATCATGTTCATGCTTGTGATTGGATTCATTTGCAAATATACCTTGAGTCCTTTACCTTGGCATATGTTTGAAAATCCGATTATGAAAATGCAGGCCATCTGTGCCTCCTTTCGCCTACCGGCCTTTGACATTGTGCCGACGCAGCTGGCGGATATGGCTTGGGAGTTGCACAACCCCAGAAGTAGGGCGGTGCCGGAGCCGACCAGCCTTAGGGCGGCCATGTCTCAGCTTGCGTGATCTTCAGCCTAAGGAGGACACTCATGGTCGCTTCTTGATTGTCAGTCTGAAGTCTGAAGGCTGCCTTCCCCCCCCCGAAGCATTCTGTCCTTTGCAGCTTCTCATGTGGCCCAGAAGCTAGTGGCAGGCTTTCAGCGTGGGCGAGTCATGGTCCACGACGACGAGTTCAATCCGGACATGTTCACGCCGGCACTTTTGAGGCTTGTTGTTCCCCTCCATGAACATGCTCTAGGGTTGTGCGTCATCGTATTGGATCCGCGGCCCGCGGCTCAAGGATTTCTACTATCCGCCCGCTTCTGCCGGTTGGCGGATTATCCACTGTATGAGCGGCATCTGTGCAAGATCATGCATGCTCCTTGCCATTGAAACGGGAGAATATCCGACTGGAAACGAGGCCACGAGGCCTTCTTATTGGAGGGCGGCCTCGACACCGGGTTGGCCTATGGCCTATGGGTTCCCGTATTATGATGTGCTCCCGCTTGGGAGCGAAAACAGTATCGAAAGCTGCACCTTATATCTGATCGGCGCATGATCGACCCGGACGGCGGTTTTCGTGCCCTGTTGGATAGTTGGCTGGCCACCTCTCCTGTGTGAGGCGCCACGGATCCTATCTGCAGGTGCGTGCTGCGCTTTGTCCTGTGGTCCCGTGTGTCTCCGGCATGGCTGGATTTTGCCTCGGACGCCAACGACTTGGTGCTTCTTGCATCGGGATCCAAGATTTGTCCGCCACCATGCCCCCGCCGCCCCTGTATGAAACAGTGCTATTGCCTGATCCGATGATCTCGTTTTTTGCAGGGCTCGGGCTGTCGCCAGTTCCGAAACTTTCGATATTGGGGGGCTTGCCACTTGCCTGACCTCCTGCTGGTTGCCGCCATCACCTGTCCTACATCCGGGGCCACACACCGCTGCCAGGATTCCAGCCAGGCTTGTGCAATCTCCCTCCATAGCTCAGCAAGGGACTTGTGACTCACTTCTATCTGGCTCCGTGCTTCTTGCGTGGGGACCGGTGGTGGCTGGCAATGGACGCTTTAGTGTGCGCAGCGGCGAGGGTCCGTTGTCCGACGGGACGCAAACGGCGGCCGGAGTCTCGATTATGGACTCCACGCTGGTGCCGGGCGGTCTAGAGTCTAGAGTCTAGAGCGACGGCTCATTTCTGCTCCCGACCTGCTGCTGAGGCCCGCGCCGAGTTAGGTAGATAACTGAACGGCTGTTGTCGACCAAGTCTACAGGCCGCAGTTATCGCTGACAGGCAGCCTCCATGTTTCACCGCTGTCTTGGTTTTCGTTTTCGGTCGATGATTCGTAGGTTTCGCTAAAGACTGCCGCCCAGCCAAAAAAAACTTGCTGTTGGAGAGACTTGTGTCCCCACAGATTGGGACTCGGACGGCGACATGGACCTGTGGACGGATGGCGGTGGTATTCGTCACTTTGACAGCGACTCGATTGACTAGTTGACGAGTTCACCGGCAGGGGGACGGCCATTCTTGGGCAAGCGTGCGTGCTTTGTAGGGCACCTCCTGTCGGATTGCTCCCATTGCAGATCGCAGATCCGAAAGTGCCTGTCCGGGCGTTCCTGGCGGGATGCCGCTCTGGTCGTGGTTTCGCAATGACGAGGAATCAACGAGAGAGACGTGGCCAAAACGGTATCCGTTCGACCTTGGGGGACGGCGCAGCACTTACTCAGCCCCGTTCTGTGGAGAGACGTGCGAGCGGGGCCTGTGGCGTCCAGGCCGCAAGTATGCGCAAGATTCAGCCCCTTTCTGTCGAGGTGTGAGCGGGGTCTGTGAAGATTCCATCCTCTGGTGTGAGCCCTGCGAGCCAGGGTCTTTTGACGACAAGCACAATCTTCAGCGTTACAGCGGGGGCTGTCCGGGAAACGGCTGCGCCAGTGCTGCTGGCAGCGCTAGTTGCCTCCCTTGTCAAGCGTTCTGGTGGAGGACCCGCTCCACAGGGCCAGGGCCGGGCCAGGGCAGGGCCAGGGCCAGGGCCAGGGCCAGGCCTGCAAGAATTGCCTTCAAAAGACACAGGGCATCCTCTTCTGGATGACAATCAGGCCTACCTGCCTGATTTTGCAGAGCATCCGCGAACTCATGGTGTGACTGTGCGCCGTCGCTTTCAGCGGATGCGCCCCAAGGCATGTGCCACGTCCACCGAATAGAAAACCCTGCTGCGAAGGGGAGCTGTGCCTCGGGCTGCCTGGCATCCTCTTGCCTCTTGACAACCTCCTTCTTCCTCTCCCGGGCGCCGTGGCCCGCATTGGTTCGCAGGTGGACTCACCCGACCGCTTGTGATCTCTGCCGGGATCGATACCTACCAACCTCAGGCTTGTCCCAAAGGCTCAGACAGAGGACTTGCGTTGGGCAAGACTCAAGAACTTTACGATTTCTCCAGGGCCTGCATCGGGCTTCACGTGAACATGTAAATTTCTGCAACAACATTACGAAGCCTTTGACTGCCAGAGACCAGCCGTCCCATGCAGAGCCGTCCCATGCAGAGTCGGCAGGGTCACGTGTCATGCGTCGTCTCTTACTACTGGGACATGCCGTTTCACTTCGTGGAGTGCTTGAAGATGATCGGAGGACCAGCTACTGGATCTGTACCGTCGCAAACCTCGCCCAACTCTTGCTCACCCTTCTACATGCAGCGATATGCGGATGCACAGGCAACAAGGACGCTGGTGGCATGACAGGTCATGTATTGAATATACAAACCTTAGCAGCCGGTTCTGCCTTCTGTCGCAGGACTTGAAGCCCTTCCCCCCCCCGGTCGATGATGACTGATTTTGCTTCATGTACAAGATCACGCCTGCCTGGAGAAGCTTGCCGGATGACCCTTGGACCTGTGTTCTGTTTGACTGCATTGCCACGGCATCTTCGTGAACCAGCTACTGCAATCCGCGTCAAGGCAGTTTGATTCTGGTTCGTGGCACAGATGGCTTCGTTGAAAGCATTGCGGGGCCTATCGAGCGCACCAAAACGCCGGATGGTCAGAAGAGGCCAAGCCCCGCTGCATCCGGTGGGCTGGGAACTGCCTGGGAAGTCAAGTTCTCTGACTGAGGAAGAAGCAGAAGCTCGGTGGTTTGTGGCAGGTCCGCGCCTGAGTTCCCGCCCCTGAAATCGACTTCCCGTTTTTCGCACGGCTTAGGTTGGGATACACGTCGTCCCAGCTTCACAAGTTCTGAGAGCCACGGTCGTGAGCAAAATTGCGTCCGCTCCTGCGCATGCTCGTTTATTGTCAGCTGCGCACACCCTGAACGCGTGCCGTGGCCATTTTGGCTCAGACACTTATGTTCGGCAGCCACCCACTCACAGCCGCTCTTGATCTCATATCCTTGCAGCATTGCAGCCGGACTCGTGCTGCCAGCTTGGGCAGAATCCACAGGAGCAGGCAGCAATGTCACGGCTTCTGCCCTGGGGCACGAAAGCGTACAGTCTCGCGGACGCCCTGCCGCTTGCGGCTCCCGAGGAAACCCGGCAGCTCCAGAGTGGTGGCGACCGCCGTCGGCGGTCGGCGGACAGTCGCCTGGCCTTGAGGAGGACCAAGGGCGGCGCAGGCAGGCCTATCTTCCAACAGGGCCGAAGAAGGAACAAGGGCGGCAAGGGCATGGCTGGAGCGATCGCAATTGCTGGGATTTTGGCATCTACAGGCGTGTTAAGCGCGACGGACGACCAAAAGGTAATGTACAGCGAACAGTTCGACGATGAGGCGCGCACCATCATGTTCCGATATCTGGGAAAGCAAGGCATCGAGATCGTGAAGGAGTTTCTCTGCGCCTCCGAAAGTTTTCCAAGTTCGCACCATTCCTGGGCCCAGCCGCTATCGTCCTTCAGGGAGCACTTGACGTATGGCTCCCGGACGAGGAGTTCACCAAGGAAGATGCCGCAGCGATGATTGACCAGAGACTCCTTGAGTTCGAGAAGCGGTTCAAGCAAGCAATCATGCAGGAGACCCGGGCTCTTGTCAAGGGCTCCATCAATGCAAACAGCTTCAGGGAAGCCCAGCTCCTCGTTCGCAAGGTCACCCAAGGCGCCTCTATGGCGGAAGCCGGCAGTGTGCTTGAAACGGATGCCTTCCTTGCATATGGCATGGCGATCGAGAACGATATGAGCCACCTTGCGGACCTGTTGTTCCTTCCGTGCATCGACGATGGTTGGGGCAGCTCGTCTTGCGCCGACCGCATCAACGCCGGCGCCACGATGCTCTTCGCACAACTCGTCACCACACACCTCGCTGTGTTCGATGGCATCTTCCAGGCTTTGAGCGAGAAGGCCGAGGAGGTGCGCGAGTGTCTTTTCTCGGCCTCCCCCTATATTGCGAAGATGGAGAAGCTCGCGGATCAGGTTGTCCGGAGCACCGTAATTCAAGGCAGTCGGGTGCACTCACCCTGACGCGAGTCCGAGCTTTTGGGCATGGATTCGGGCGAGCTCCGCAGACACTGCCGCCATGCTCCACAGCATGCACAACACCATCTGCCTCTCCTCCGAGATGGGCACACCCCCTCCTCCCAACCCCAAAGGAGACGCCACGACTTGCGGCGAGGAGGTGGGTGGAATGTGGCACCTCGTCCGGCGCGCGACCGGGAACACGTTCCAGGACCAGGATCGGCTGGAGGGCACGTCGCAGCATGGGGGAAGAGCATCACAATCCGACTGGTGCCACTTTCTCCAAGCCATTCCAGCACTTTTCGTACAACCAGTTCCTTTTCGCAACTGGCGACTGCACGAAATGGATGATCATGGAGAAGGACCAAGTCTTGGGTGAGTACAGCAACAAGCGAAGGAGAATTGAAAGGTCCCACGTCTCGGAGTACCCCTACTCCGCAAAGATGTACCGCCGCAGTGGGAGTCTGGAGGATCCTTGGATCACTTTCGAGAATCACGGCTCGGTTGGCGCACTGCACCGCTCTCTATCAGGGGAACAACCACGACCCCGCATGCACTTTTGGCGATCTTGGCACCCTCCATGACGGACTCAACGTCTTTGTGCGCTGGGCACCAGCGACTGACAGCTGCTGTGGTGCAGATGGCTACGAGTGCGCCACAAAGTGCAAGGCAAGGGGCGACCTCAGCTTCCCTTTCGTTGAACGCACGCAGGAGAGGTTCAACCGCGTCAAGGCCAAGTACCGCAACCTCTGGTCGAAGGCCCGTAACAAGTACTTTGCGGAGCGGATGCAGCGAATCACTTGCAACCCAGACGCCAGCACCGGGGCAACAAATTGCAACGATGAGTTTGACCCTACCGCAAATTTTTGGGACGAGTTTAGTCGGAAGGCCGAGGTTGCCGAAAGCGCGACCACCTTGCTCGAACCCGCGGAGCGACTCTTCGGAACCTCCACCGTGTTCGCGAGCTCCATTCACGACGAAGTGGACCCGCTTGTGGGCGAGGGTGGATGGTACCTGCAAGAGCGGTTTCCATATGCTAACGGCCATGCCCGGTTCGTGGGTCTCGTGCCAAAGGGTGCGAATGTGCCTGCCCTCGAGATCAACGGGGTCTTGCAGAGACCTAGTTATTATCAGATCTTCGAAGACAATGGGCGTTGGTACTCCTACGAATTCGCCTTTACCAAGCAACGGGAGATCTGGGTTGAGAACATGGAGTACAGCACGTGTCCAAGCATAGCTTGCTTTACATGGGGGTCGCACGTTCCAGGGTTTGGCAGCTTCGAAGTGCTGCAGCTGGAGGTGCAGGAGAAGCCCTTCGACAGCTACCTCTCGTGGGACCACCCCGACGTAGAGCATAATTGCCGCTTTCCAGGACCCACCAACGTCGGCAATCTCGAATGCGGTGGCCAGGACGGCAGCGAGATCAAGGTCAACCTCAACAACGCATCCTTCGGTTGGGAGGCCAGCTTCTTTATGCGCCTGGACGGCCCGCTCTTGTGGCATGACCTTGGCTTGGAGTGTACAGCTTTCCCGGGCGATACACCGGGCTGGTCCGACTTCACTAAGTGTGACCATGGCAACGGACTTGTTGATGGATACGTTTACCTGTATCAGAACTGCGGGAGCCTGTCGTGTGATTGCTGCAGGTTCTGGAAGGACCAGGTAAGTGCGGTCATCGACATCAACCTGGGCTCAGACTCGGACTGGGTCCGCTCCTGGGACATTCGTCAGCAGGCCCAGGATCATGAGGCTCGCCCTGAACCATGGTCACCCCAATGGTGGTGAGCAGCACCTACTTCAGGAATTCGAAGGGAGAATCAACAAGTTTGAAGTCGATCCTTCGGCCAGGGTGCCCCGTGGAGCATGGACAGTGGCATTCCTATGTCGTCAGGCGATCCGAGGGCCGGATCTTCGTGTGGATGGACGATCGGCTTTTGTGGGCGCATGACCTTCCCGTCTTTGACCAGCAACTGCTGTCTGGAGCAACATCGGTTTCCTCCTCTCTTCGTAGGGACTTGACTTACAGCATGTCGATCCGCCCACGTGGGACTGTGGGGACCCTCTGGGGCCTCTCGGTGACGCACACGGACCAGTTAGGCTGGACAGAGGGCGACACGGCCGTTCTGGACGGGCGAAGTGGCATTACTGGCTGGCCGACAAGGCTCCGGTGCCCCGCGTGCAAGGGGAACACTGCCAAAACCCTGAGCGCATGGGATGATCCCTGTGCTTAAGACGAGTGGATCCTGCCGTAGTTCGACCATCATGTGTGGCGACCACCATGTGTGGCGATGTTTGCAGCCCTTCGCAGCCCCCAAAGGAGGCCAAGGGCCAGCAGAGTTTTGACGCTTTACTGTTTTTGTTGGAAGGTCATCAACCTAAAGTTGTTGACTTCCGCTACCCTTTATTTTATCCCTAGCTTAGTCTGGCCAGAGGCAACCGTTTATCTTATCCTTAGCTTAGTCTGGCCAGAGGCAAGCGATGTCACGTTTTGAAGCCATCCGCAGCAGAGATGTATCTTATGCCATCCTATCGTGTGGCATAGTGCAACCTACTTCAAGTTACTTGTTCTACGGAACGGCTTCGCACTGTTTGTGAGTAGAGTTGTCGCGGACATGGCAGCGTTTCTTTGCCTCTTTTCCCGGCCGGACTTCACGACGTGCCTGGCGGTCACCTCAGAGGTTGGATGCTTGCTCAATCTCCAGGCCGTCAGCGCCAATCTCGTGGAAGTGGAAGAAGCAATCCAGCGAATCCCAGCCAACAGTAATCATGACTCATGACCGCATTCACTCTCATGATGATTGTATATTGTGACATGTAGGGCGGAAATTATGTCTTCGCGTTGGCATATTGTAGGAAAGGAGGCCCATGCATGTGCATGTCATGGCAGCAGCATAAGTTGCCTTCCTGACTGCGTCCTCTGTTAGTCTGTAAAGTCAAAGTCTTCTTCTCAGATTGTGCCAGCCAGTCAGTCAACTTGATTTTGTTCACCAGCGATTCACCAATAGAAGTGGTTTCGGCATGTGTGCAGCCTTGCACACAGCATCGTAAGTCGGCTGAACTGCCTTGGAGCCGAAGTCCATCATGGAGGTGCGCTTGGCGTTTTTGTTTCAGACACATGCGCAGCCTAAATCCTAGTGTCCTAGTGTGATCCCCTTTGAACATCGAAGGTTGCGCCGACCACCACTGGAAGCAGCTTGGGCCGCCGCCCCAGCCGTATTGCTGGACTCGCCTCAGAGTTGACACATGCTGGTGCAACATTTGTGCCATGTCTTCTCTATGACTGGACACGAGCTGGGTTGTGCAATTCATGCTATTGTCTTCCCTTACATTCTGAGGTATGTACCCATCAGTTTGCTTGATTCAGTGCTTGATGCATCTGCACATATGCATCTAGAGTAAGCATGGCAGCGGCCAGTTTTAACATGATGGATCCGGCTTCTGCATTCCTTGTGCGTGTCGGCTACGGGATCGCCGCAAGCCAGCCGCGATTGTCGTGCAGAGCCAGTGCACGTCGAAAGCGAGTCTCCGAAGCGGGATCTGAGAGAGCCCTGGCGGTCCTTCTCGGCGCCGCCGGTGCGCTCGGCTCGCCACGGATCCGGTCACCCGGAAAGCTTCGGTCAAAATGCCGCGGTGCACGCACGCAAGGCAAGCACAGGTTGCCCAAAGTAGTGATGGCCTCCACAAGTGGGCGTGAGGCCCGTGAGGCCATCCGGCAGTGCCTGCGAGAGAACCGTACGATGCCAGTTCTCCAAGCTTTGCCCGAAGACTCTCTCCAGCAGATCCTGGATACCATGACACGGATGGAGCTGGAGCCGGGCACGCACATTTTTAGGAGGGGAGAGCCTGTGGATGCCGTGTATGTCGTGGAGAGTGGGGAGCTCAGCGTCTTCAAGCGCCTCCAAGAGGAGGACGAGGAAGAAATCGAAGCAACGACTTTAGGAACGGGAAGTTACATTGGAGAGCTGGGCCTGTTTTATGATCGGACCTGCATGGAATCGGTCTGTGTTCGAGGAAATCAACCCGCAACAGTTTGGCAGCTCTGCCGCGAGGACTTCTTCAGCATCATCGACCAGCTTGCGAACACAGACGACGATCCGGGCTGCGAAGTCGATCCTGACCAGATGGATGAAGAACCAGCTGCGATCTTTGCTGTTTCGGACGGCTCCGGCTATTCTGCAGGAGGCGCTGTGACCCTGGCCCTGAAGCAGTTTGAGTACAGATATCGGAGCAATTGTCAGAGCGTCGGCACGACGACCTTTCCATACATTCGGTATAAACCGGAGATCCTCGAGATCACACGGCGAGCCAGGGAGGAAAATGCACTGGTCGTCTATACATTGATGCGCGAAGAGCCTCGCGAAGCCATCATCGAGGAACTGCAGAGGCCGACAAAGCCTGGAGAGAACGAGCCTCTTGGATGTGAGAGTACGAATACTCTGTCAATTTTTGCTTCGTATTGCCACCGGCCTGGTCTTGCTAGAACGGGTCCGGCCTAAGCAGTAGCCAGGCTTCGTGCCGTGGACCTCTACGAGCCACTGCTGGTGGGAAGAGGGAGGTGAGTCGCAAGCTTCCATTGTGCTTGGAGTGCCCCTGTCGCAGGCATCCATGGAGGAGTTGTTGGGCATTCCCAGGAAATCCGAGGCGAATGAAATCTGACGCCAGCCTCTCCTGGGCCCTGACGCTGACACTTGAGAGGTGCGCTCCGCGCTGCGCTCTCGTCTGTCGGAGGATTGCATCAACATGGTGGAGGCTCCCTTCTTGCTGCGCATGTTCGGGGGCTGAGTTGTGCTTGGCAGGCCATTGAGTTCACCCGCAAGCTTGATGACGGTATGCACCCAGAGCTTTGGTCCGAAGCCGACCCGAGCTTGGCGACACATTCAGACTTCTCGCATGCAGCGCTGGTGCCTGATTTGCGCTGTGCGGATCGAGGATATTATTCTCATTGGCCTTTCTCGTGCAGGCAAAACACCACTAGCGACGGAGCCCCAGTCGATCAATTTCGCATCTCTCTTGTGCAGGCTATGCCCAATCTAAGGTTCTTCTTGGCCCAGCGAGGTTTCAAAGTGGCAAACTATCCCGTTATTCCGGGTGAAGATCCACCGAAACATCTCTTTGATCCAGCTATTCAGCAACACGTCGATGGAGCTACAGCAAGGCACCCTCCAGTTTTTGCTGACATGCAACTGCCGTCAGCCAAGGCACAAATGTGTCGCGCTGACAATCCAGGCTCAACGTTTGCATGCTGTGCGCTCGGCCCGCATGCATCTTGACTTGACTAGGCGTGTGGCTCCTGAAAGCCAGTGGAGCAAATCCATTTTGTTAGTTTGCCCTGTCATCGTGAGGTGCTTCTACCATCGCATCCATGTGTCCACATGACAACATTACAGTACTAGACTTTTGGCAATCTCTAGAGTCTAGAGGCTTCTCTTCTAAAACTCCCTGCTTGTTGGCGGATTCGGTTTTTGGGCAGAGAGTCATTGAAGGCGGGAGGGCGAGCTTGTCCGCAGGGGTTAGGGTTCGGGGATGTTTCTCTTCGTTGGCTGCAAGGAAAGACTACGGAAGGGAGGAGTCGAAGCTGCTTGGCTTTTTATTCCCGAAGGGGTGGCTACGGTGTTTTGGTGGAGGTAGTTTCCGTGCCATGAGATGTGATCATGTTGCCGTGAGGTTGCCGCTTCTTTGGTTCTTAGGCAGTCGCGGCATGCTGTGAGGTTTCCGAGAGGTTGGCCCTCAGATTGCGTGTGGTTTCTTGGCCTTCAGGTTGTGGTGAGGTTGCCTCCTATCTCTTGTAATATTTTTTTAACGCCCGGGCCAGGGCTAGTGGGAGTCCCCGAACATCGCAAAATGGCGCTGCACGTGGTGTCGTGACGATCTGTCCTCGGATTTGGCAAGCCTCTCCAGCTAAGCCAGCGAGTTCGGTCACGTGAGATGGCGCAGCGCGTGTGCTGCCGTGGCGACTCGTCTTCGGGCAACCACCTGGATGGGCGCGGCATGACAGCATCTTCCAGTTTGTTCCCGATCGCGATCCACCGGAAGATGCAATTTCGAATCGAAATGGCAGCGCTGCATGTGTGGTGCTGTGTTGCGGCTTCTAAATGCGTGAAATATCGTCAGTACCTTTTTTTCCGGCGTGCGGTGCCGTGCTGATTTTGGAATCGCAACGCGTGAAATCACAGAAGTACTTGGGAAAAGTTTGGTCGTGTCTCCGATGGGGAAGCATGGTGGCCGTGCTCCTGATTCCCGACAACACTGCTCTTAAATTCCGCCAGTGCATGCGGGGCCTCTGAATTGTGGAGGCGTTTCCAAAGTCGTTTAAAGAACGGTTGGTACAATGGCTGTTTAGAGGGGTTTGATGGAGACGGGTTTGACAGAGCGTGTTATGGCTATGGGATGATTTATAGAAAGGTTCGTGGAAGTGTTAACATTTGTTTGCGCAGTGTCAGATGGAAGGGTTTATGGAAGAGCTGCATAGGGCTTAGGGGGCTTTATAGAAGGGTTTATGATGGATGGATGAACCTGGATGGATGGAATGGCTGGCTTGCTGGAGGCCTGGCTGGGTAGGTGGGTGTGTGGCTGGCTGATTGGATGGGATGAGATGAGATGGTATGATGTACATGCTTTCGGGACACTCCTTCTCCAGTTAGTCTCGGTTCGGGTTCTCCCGCACTTGTGACTGTGAGGTATGCTTCGATGGAGAACTGCAAAAAGGAGGCCCCGCGGAGCCGAAGCGGAGAGTGAAGTGCCGAGGTTTGTGCCGTCCTTGGCAGGTGAACTGGCTGAAGACCTTCTACATGCGGCAGCTCGGACGCCGCTCTGTTGTCCCTTCTCTGTGTAGAAGTGGCTCTGTCCGAGCGCAGGCAGGGTCCTCATTGGACGGTTCTGGACACCACGAACGGTGGTGTGGAGGAAACAGCGGCGAAGGCCCAGACAGATCGAGTCCCTGATTCTTGCATCGGATCTGCGATGACTCTTGTCAAGGTGCTCAAAGTCTTGCAGCAGTTGAAGGGTGTCAAGCATGCAACTGGTCAATTCGTGAACCCTTCTATGGAGTGACCCGACATGCGATCGCCTCGCTTGTGGGTCTACAAAGCGACTCGAAGACGTCGCTTTGACGTCGACGTCTCGAGCGGTCGAGATAGTCGCGTGCTGGAGTCTCCTTTGCAGCTTGGCCCAATGGCCGTGCACTCTCTGACGTGTCCCGTGTTGGCATGCCCTGAGTCGGCAGCCATCCCTTCAACGGAGGGCTTTTGAAGGCCGCTGGACTCTGATAATTGACAGTTAGCTTCTTGCACCTGCTGTGCCGAAATTGCGTTTAGCAGCTGGCTGATGCGACAAAGCGTGTCAGTTCTCGTGTGATCTGAGTGGGAGTGGTGGCATGCTGCCTTGCTGCCTTGCTGCCGCTGCCGTGCTGTGACTTTGAGGTGGTATGTGGGAGTGGCAGCGAGAGCTCGAGGCCTGAGCCCTTTCGGCCGCCACGAGAGCTGAAGTCTTTCTTGCTTTGCGGCATTGCCGCGGCATTGGGGGACCGTGGGGGAGGTGTTGGCGGGACGTCTCTCTCGGGGGCGAGCAGACGAGGCCATGAGAGCCTGAGGCCGCCCAAGGCAAAATCGCCCGAACGCCCGAAGCCCTGCTGGAGGCTGCGGCAAGCAGGAGGGCGGCCGAGGAAGCCGAGAGGTGCGAGGGATTCTGTCACAACCGCTTTCCTTGATGCTGTCCGCATTTGACAGCTTGTCTAAGTTTAAGCCCCCTCTGTGCTGTGTACCTGCTGTTTCAAAGATTTCTGCACTGTTTAGGGTTTTTCCGCAAGCGGATTGTGAGAACTGATGCATCGGTCGTGTGTGCCATTCGCACAGTGAATATGCCGGGCACAGATTGACAGCCTGTCTGTGCTCCTCCCCCCCTTAACCTAAGCCCTCAGCAGCGAGGGCGGCGCTTCAGCGAAGCCAAGAAGCCGAGCGGCGCTCCTTGATGGCACAGACCGAGGAGAGCTCGGGCCTCGGCGTCGAAAGAAGTTGCCTTGGCTGCCCGCTCGGCTCCCCTTCCAGGCCAGGCCTTGCAGCAGTTCCTGTCGGGTTGGCACCATTCCCTGGAGGCCGCCTAAAAGCAAAGTGCAGCGCTTCCAAGTTTCCATCCACAAAGAAGTGCATGGCTTGGTGTCTTATCGTTCACCTTGCTGCACCACGGCTCAGACATGTACTTTGGACGATCAGCCACACGGGTAGGCTGTAAGGGGGGTACGTGTTCAACATCAAGGGATGCGCCCCAGGCAGAAGGCAAGGCAACGGCAGAGTCTTTCGAGAACCCAAAGCCAACAACAGAAGACTAGATCTCGCTCAAGGACCCAGTCGACTCTTCACCAAGTTTCCTTGTCTGACCGACATGATGTACAACTTGTGCCGGCAGATGGCACCACATCTTGCAGACTCTCAGGCCCATCGTCTCCACAGGCTGTGAGACATAGACGCTGCCCAGGCTATGGTAATGCAAGTATCAGATGTGTACTGGACTCTTCTGAGCAACCAGATTGATTGATTTGCAGAGACCCGGCAGAACCCCGCAAGGTTCCGGAATACATGGACGTCGAGCCGTGGGCTCCGCTGTCCCGAGCCGGAGGCTCGCAGCGTTTTCCGTCACGTTCGCTTCACGCAAATAAGCAAGTGGGCATTATGGGCATTATGGAGGCACCTGCCAAATTGAGCGAAGACCTTCCGTGCTGCTTCCTCCAGCGAAGCGGCGCCGCGCTATCACAGCTTCTCAGCTCCGTATGGAACGGTGACAACTTGTTTGTTCCCCACCCTCGGTGTGGGCTTGTTAGATTATAAAGTCAGCCATTACTCCTCGCCCGCTGAGATTACCTCTTCAGTACCCAACCCCACAGACTACCGTGAGAATACTGTGAGCATCCCTGCAGTGCCCAACCCCACAGACTACCGTGAGAATCTCTGGAGTGCCCAACCCCACAGACTACCGTGAGAATCCCTGGAGTGCCCAACCCCACAGACGACGAGAATCCCTGGAGTGCCCAACCCCACGGACTACCGTGAGAATCCTTGGAGTGCCCAACCCCACATGACTACCATGAGAATCCCTGGAGTGCTCAACCCGACAGACTACCGTGAGATTCCCTGGAGTGCCCAATCCCAACTTTGGAATCTGCCGGGGCCTCGCAGCCTCGAGGCTTAATTCATAATGCATCGGACTCGTTTGTCACAAGCAGATTCCACACGTACTCTTCTGTAACATTTTGTACAACGTCCTGTTCTACACAAACACACTGGTTCCACACCTACACCCCCATCACAACGCGTGTGCAAATCTTGCTGTGTTGGCCGCAGCGTAGCGGCCCGCGGGACTGCGTGGGAATACCAGGGTTTTCGGCTCAGCGTGGCGGCCCGCGGGAGTGCTCGGGAACACCAGGGTTTAAGGTTTAGGCTCGGGTTCTTTAGGTCTTAGGATATGCGTGTAGGAAGGACAAGGCGCTAGGGTGGGGATGTTCGAAGTAAAATATAGTAAAATATTTTTTTCCCCTGCCGTTTCTGTGACTTGGGTAGTTTGAACCAGCGGAAACGAAGAAGAAGAATCAAGGAAATAGTAGGTCGGACTTGGTCAGGTACAGGACATGCAGGACGGAAATTGAGCGAATGAGATCACAGGGTGCCACTTCGTGAGACCTCACCCGGCTTCTTTGGACATCTCGCCGACAACCCGGCCTTGTGAGCACACTAGCCCTGTGCCTCAGACCTGAAGCCTGTCGAATATCGGTGTACTGGCAACAGTCTCGAGTCTGAGTCTTTTCGAGGCTACGAGACAGTCCAGTTGGCAGAGCTGTGAAATGCTGGGCACGGATATTGATCTCGGGGAGCTTTGGGTGCGTATGCTGTGCTTTGAGGACTGCAAAGAGAAGTGCATGTAAGCAACTGAAAGCTGCACATCGCCACATTCACAGCCGTGCCGTGCCTGATCAGTGAGGAGCACTGGCTCAGCCATGACCTGGAGCTATATTCGCACAGGTCTTCGATGGGCCTGTGCCTGGGACATGAACTCTAAGGGTCACTTCGAGCGCTATAGACATGTTTTTGCCTTTGCAGCAGTTCCTGCAGGCATCAGCTGGGGCAGCGCGATCAGCCGAGCTGAGCTTCGCATACATTGCCAGACATCTGGGAGACGTTTGGCAGCCGGCGTGGCCACCTTCGTGGAAAAAGCTGCAGTGATGCCTGAAGTTAGAGGAGTAACCCGGTACTTGCGTGTAACAGTAGAGGCTCGCTGTAGCGCCCGGAGGCTCGACTGGAACTTTTTGCACAGCAGCTCAGCCACCTACACCGTCGAGTGGACCAGGACAGAGGTCGTGGAATCCCCATCGGTTCGAGGCTTCCGGGGGCTTCCGTGAGGACTGTGCGCAAGTTGAAGGCGCCGAGCGCCGCCTCGAGGCTCCGTGGCCGCCTGCGGGAGGTTCCAAAGGACGGTTCCGAGAGATGCACTGCCTTTTGCTCCGAGGCGCAGGCCGCGCGCTTCGAAGACTTCCAGACTTCGGTGCAGGCCAGCAGAGACCAGCAGAGAGAGCGGAGAGAGAGAGAGGGGAGAGAGCAGAGAGAGCTTTTGCTTCCTTGGGCCTTGGACCTTCTCTCTCGCAGCTTATCGGCTCAGGAGCCGAACCCAGGCCCCCTCAGCTCAGGAGCCGCCTGCGGGAGCTCTCGCCGGAGCTCCCACGAGCTGTAAATCCAGTACTCAGACAGCCATCAAAGTCTCCACGCCCCCGTCTTCGGTGTCTCAACGACGAAGGCGAAGGTTTTTGCTTCTCTGTCGGAAGGTCTATGCAGAGGTTTTGCTGAATTTGGCACCAGCCCGCGCAGGGTTCCATGCTGGCACACTGCATCCCCCTGGCCCTGGCCCCGGCCCTGGCCGCTGCCGCAGCTGAAGGCGTGATGCGGCGCATCGCAGCACATTTGCGCTGACACCGACTTGTGCTTTGCCTGGTGACAGGCTCGCTGCCGGCCCGCCAGCTCATGCGTGCAGAGTTTGATGCTAGGAAAGTGTTTCCTGCCGCGGGGCTGCGATGCGGGAACCGAAGTGGTACATGCTGCAAGTGTCAGGACTGATGCGGACGGGACGATCAGACTTGTGGACTCTTACATCCGGCAGGCCGGCCCTTGTGTCTTGTGTGCTGCTGACCGGGCCATACATTGAGCCTATTGTGAATGTGACTGCTTGGTTTAAGTGCAGGTAGTCAATGCGAGTTGCTTGGCCGCCTTCAGTGTGTGGAGCTACCAGTCTGCAGCGGTTGCACGACATGTGCAGTTGCACCTCGAGTCAGGCAATTTGGCAGCAATGGACTGCTCAAACATGATGCTGCGCAACACGGGGTTGCTGCTCGACTTCGGGAAGAAATTGCTCATGGAATGAAGCCTGTTTCTATGCGAGAATCTGAGGTCGGATCTTCTTCAGGGAGAGTGCGTTCGATCCAAAGCTGAATGTGGCTCCGCCTACTGCCCCAACGACTGGGTCAGGAGCTCATGGGCGCTCGGAGCTGGGGGTAGCCACGGGAGCTCTTCTCGCTTCTCCTTGCACGTCCTCGCTTCCTGCCAGGTGAGCTTTGAGGTGGACTACTCGGGACAGAAGGTGATCAAGTCTGAATGTAGAGTGCAGGCGGAGACGGCGACCTGTCTGGCTTGGTTCGCGTGCTAGTTCTGGACACAGCGGGCAGACATGGATCAGAATGGGGACCTGTTGACGATGCCATGCCATGCCCGGCAGCTTCGCTGAGGAATGTGGGATAAATTGCAAGTCCCGAAAAGCCGGTGAAGCCTGGCCGCAGAATGAATTGCTTTGACCGGCAGCCTGGTGTGCCGGTTGATGCTCCATGGACTCCATGCACTGATCACGAAGGTCTGCAGCACGAGAAGCCGAGCAGACTGCGCGAAGCTTTGTACTTGTGACGCCCAGAGAGCAGAGCGGCCAAAGGGCTTGCTGCGGCTGCATGCCTGCTTCGCCATTTCGAGGTGCACACGGCTTTGAGATGTCCGGCTCCGTGGGCTATGTCTGCTGCTTGACTGCAATGTATCAGAGTCGTGCTGTGTTTTTGTGTGGTCGTTAGTAGAAAGCCTGCCCCGGCCGGGCTTGATGGTTGAATGTCTCAGGCAAATGGAACGATGGCGATGGAGTGTCTCGACGAAGGATGCGCGGCTGTTTGTAATATCGGCCTATGCCGGCTTAATATCATCGTCGGGGCAGCATGGCATGCTGTTGGAAAGCCGAGGCCTGCTACAAGGCTGGAGCAAGTGATGAGGCATGGATTTGATAATGCTTGTGAACCACTCTTGTTCCAGTTCCCTCTTGGCTTCTCCGGGCATCATTGTTCTTGCAGCCGGGACACGAGGCCGACTATCCTGAAAAGTTTCGGAAATGCTTCGTGACCCACAACTAGCGCCAACCAGCGCCAGTTGAAGGTAGGTTTCTGCCGCTGGCCTCTGGCAGCCTAGCATCGTCGAAATTTGAACCGAACGCATCTTGCTGCACACTCTTCGACTCAGCTTCGGCTGAAGCTTGGACTGTCTTACCTGAACTTTCGTGGTGGTGGGCGCGCAAAAAGCCACGGGAGCCCGCCGCATTTCTTCTTCTCAGTCGTGCTGCACACAAGCTGCATAGTCTTACGCTCAGCAGCCTGCAGAGGCCAGCTTGTCCAGCCTGTCAGCACGAGACCAAGGGAGCCATGTCACACTGCAACGCATCTGAGAGCCTCTCAGTGCTGCTCAGGAACGCTTGGCGAGCGGCCATGAGCAGTTTTCGTCAGAGATTGAGACGAAGTGTCAAGAGGCTGCCTTGCGATGTTTACAGGCCCTTCTCGATGTCTCGCAATAAGCGAGGTCGATGCCGAGCTGTCAAAGCGAGGGGCAGAGAGCCAGCAGGCCTCCAGAGTCTTTGTCTCTCTCTCTCTCTCTCTCTCTCTCTCTCTCTCTCTCTCTCACACACGCACAACATGCTAGATAGGTCAAAAGTGGATGGATGGCTGGATGGACGGATGGACGGATGGAGGGATGGAGGGGTGGAGGGGGGAGGGGCGGAGGGGTGGGGGCGATGGAGGGGTGAGGGATGGCGATGGAGGGATGGAGGGATGGAGGGATGGAGAGATGGAGGATGGAGGGATGGAGGGATGGAGGGATGGAGGGATGGAGGGATGGATGGAGGGATGGAGGGATGGATGGATGGATGGAGGGACGGAGGGATGGATAGGATAGATGGGAGGTAGACGAGGTGGACAGATGGGTAGATAGGCAGATTGGTGGGCAGTAGAAAGATACGCAGGCAGGAGATATGTTGTTTGATAGATAGATAGATAGGTAATTATATAGCCAGACAGATAGTTGGCCAGATAGACGGATGGATAGATGGATAGATGCATAGATGAATAGAAATAGAGCGCCATGTATATATATATATATGTATACATATATATACATATATATATCCTTTCGAGATGCCGCGACCACGCGGCCATGGCTTGTGCTGGACCTTGTGCACATTGACTGTGTCACAACTGACGTAGACAATGGACTTTGGATTTGTGCCAGTGAAAAGCCCTTTGGCTTCAAGCTTGACGATGAGACTGTGTTTGTCTCTCATGCTTCTTGCTTTGACGACCCAAGTTTGATTGACTTCACCTCCTGGTCTGGCTCCGCCGGACCAGTGCGAGGGTTTAGTCTCCTTGGCTTGCCATCTTCCCTTGTGTATCCCTCCTCCCTGCGTTCTTACAATAGCTTTGTCCACACCTTCACCGGCTGATCTTGTCCGCGGAACGATCAAGCTATGGACTGCCGGCCGGCTTGCTTTCTTGCTTGTCCGACCCTCCACATGCCCAGGCCTTGAGGTTGTTAGAAAGCTTGCTCCTTTTTGCCGGGGGTCAGAGGATTACACAGCGCTTGCCAATTTTGCCGGAATTGCAGCGCTCCTCGCCCGTTTCACCTTTTTCTAGTCAACTTGCATCAAAATTCCGTGCCTCGAAAGCGGAAAGTGGACATATATATATATATACACATACATACATACATATATTTATAAATACATATAGATATATACACATGTATAGTTGTCTGCATGTGTGTGTGTGTGTGTGTGTCTGTGTTTTTCTCTTTCTCATCCGTAATCATCGGCGCGAGACGTGCGCCATGCTCTTCGTAAGGCTTTCTCCGAGATCTCGACGCGACTCCAGGATGTTGAGGCCCGCAGAACCTGTGCGCAGCAAGAGCAGGAGAAGCTCTTCTCCGGAGAGCAGCCTCAGTCTCTTAGTCTGTCAGTCGCACGGCGAAGCTGCAGCGCGGGGTCTTCGAGCCTTGGAGCCCTTCATCGAGCGGGTGACCTCAAGGTGCAGCCAACGCTTCCGCTTGCGAAGAGCGACCCTTGCGGCCTTGCGGAGTGCAGCCGCTTGCAGCCGCTTGCAGGCTTGAGGATGTCGAGCAGCTGCCGCCCGTCGTTGACAACATAAGGCCATCGCCTGCAGCCTGAAAGCACCGTGTGGGCCACCGTCTTCGCAGGTCTGAACTTTCAGCAGCCGGTGGGCGTCCCAGACTCTCCGGACTCCAGGGTGCTTGCGCCCCCGCCCCAACCCAGGCCAGGTCTTGCGCACGGCCATTGCTGCTGAAGGCAAGCGCGCAGAGGCGTGCCAGTGCCTGCAGGATGCTGCAACGGATGTCAGATCTGGAGTCTGAAGGAAAACCTCCAGACCTTGCGGGAAGATCTGTACTCTTGTCAGGCAGCATCTCCCGCCCCGGGTAAGAAAGCAACGACATTAGCCTGTGTTTGTGAGGAATCTGACAGACTCCGCTTGGCAAGGGACTTGCAGGATTGCCCACCCGAAGTGCAGAACACGCCTTGCCCTCGTAGCCTGCAGTGTTTTCGCGCAGGAGGTGAGGAATCTCGCGGAGGCTTCGATGAGTTTCTTGCTGTGCAGGGCGGACTGTGTCCATGCTTGTGCGTTGAGTTTTTTCGTTTCGCTGGCTGCCTGGCTTTGGCTCGAGCTCCATTGCTCCATGGTGCTTCTTCTTAGTTTGCAGGCCTTTCGACAGGTGCCGGCCGGTCCAACCGTGTATCTCTCTCGTTGAAGCACATGGACATGGGGAGGTCAATTGCCGCCGTGGCGCGGCAGGCTCTGTCGTATGGCGGCTCGATTGCACCTAGGGGTACATAGGTGCGGGGCGGTTGGGTGTGGCATCAGCTGAAAACTGCTGCAGCTGACCTGCTCCGAGTCATCAGGATCGGCGCTGCTGCTGGAAGCTTGTCGCGACCATTCTGTCGATTTTGCTAAGATGCAAGATTTGACCTTGGTGCTTGTGCCGGCTTTGACCTGCCCTGACTGCGGAGCATGCCGGATGCTGAGGAGTCTGCTGCTATGCCTGCCGATAAGCGTGAGCCTGGAGGTCGGAGGTTTGATCCTTCTACAGTCGGGTGTGTGTTCGTGAATCCGCATGAGGCGACCTCGCTCGAGGGATCCGGTCGTGCCTTGGTAGCACACACGAAGCCGCTTCGAGAGGATTTTTCTCCCGCCTCCGCTGAGGCCGTGACGCTTCCGTGGCCGTGGCCATTTCGGCCGACGGAGCTGCCCAAGGCCAAGCCGCAAGCCGCTTTGGGCACCCTTTCTTCGGAGGCGAAGATGCGCCTTGTTGCAGGCTTGGTCAGAAGCCAGAGATGGTGGGCTCCCAGGGCGCCTCCCGACGAGAGTCGGCCACAGCCGCTGGCGAACACAGGATTCTCTTCGTGATGAAGGGGGGAGGTTCCGAGAGATGCCCCTTCGGCACGTGTCAGGAACCATCAATCCACTGAGCTGCTACGACACCTTGGTGAAAGCTCCTCGACGGCAGCAAAGGCTTTCGAGGTAACTTCAGACCCCTGTGGCTGTGGAGCTGTGAAAAGGCGAAGATCCCGTGTATTAACTTCGCCAAAGTCGTCTGCAAGCCCTGGCAAGCAGAAGAATGTCAGTGTGACGACAAGTGGGCAGCCTAGCTCGACCCGAGAGCGTAGCTTCCGAGCCCGACAGTATCAAAGCTTACCGGGGAGCTGTGCGATCCGGAATCATGATGCAACCACATTTAAACAAGCAATGTCGACAGCACGGATACATCGCTGCATTTACGTGCATCGTGCTGCAGCTCATGTGCATGGACAAAGGAATCCAATCTGCGTCACGGATGCAGCCCAAAGATCATCGCCGGCATCTCCTGCAAATGGGCGCTCTGCCATAGCCACGCAATACGTGTCCTGGCAAAATGCAGCATACTGGAAACGGGCTTCTCAGCACCCTAGCGGCCCTAGCTGCCTCCAGGAACAGTGTTCTGCTTCGAGTGCTGAGGCATGCTGTCCAAAGCCTGCCCCAGACGAAGCCGAGTGAATCTTCTGCGTCATGCAATGCCGAAGGGCTGAACAAGCTACAAGGTTTATTTGCGAGCCGCAGACGCGCAGAAGACAAGCAACGAAAAAGGATGCCGCCAGCCTTCCTTTTTGGCAGCTGAAATGTCTAAGAGTGGCGGGAAGTCCACCAAAGCTTCAATGCGTGAGGCCGCATCGGAACGTGCACAAGAGCTGGACACTGCTCTTGCCTCCGGGAAGGAGGCAGTTCCTACCTTGCAACTTGGGACACCCAGTGTAGCATCGCCTGTCGTGCGAGCCAGGAGGAGTCTCGAGCCCTTGAGCGGCTGCGAGAGGAGGCGGCGGCAGCGAACCGAAACATCCAAGCCATCGAGGCGAGGCCGCAAGGAGCCGCGAGGCTTTAGCAGTGGTGGTCCACTCCCGCTGTAGGCTCGCTTGCACGACTTGCGAACTGGAACGGCGAAGGGCCCCAGTCGTGGCATCCATGAGTTGTCCCTTGTTGCAGTGGACTTGCTACGAGTCTACGATTCTGCTTCGAAGCTCAGGCGGCGAATCTGCAAGGCGGTTGTTGGGCAGTGCTGTGAACTTTCGAAGTTCGGCGTGCCGTGGTCCAGGCTCCGAGCAGCGACTCCAAGACCTCTTCAGAGAAGCGCTGGCGGCTTTCTGCCTTCGCTTATACTTATGCTCGCTTCCGGCTTCGCTTGAGCCAAGGCTACACACCGCCACCGACAAGGCTTTTGCGCAGGCCTTTGTACCAGCAGAATGAAGGTGTAAGGCGTTGGGTGCCTTGAGTCGCAAGCACTTGTTGTATTTGGTAGAGCCTTTTGGGAGAGACGTTGAGCAGCTTCGTCTGCTTGCAGGACCAGGTGGCCGGTGCCTGAAGCGATGCCTTGCGACGTTGTTCACTTCACGGCGTTCTGCTTGCAACGGCAACAGAGGTCAGCAAGAGGCTGGAAAGCGAACTACACGTTCAAATTGGGGCGGTGTCGGCGGAGATCAAGGAGCGAAGCTTCGTGGTCTGCATGATGGTATCGGCCGTTCCAGATGCACTTTCGCAGCACTCGAGCCTGTGTGCCATGAGAGGAGCTGAAGTCTGTGTCCATGGACAGCTCGGAGAAGCCGTGCTTTCAGACTTGAGGTGGCTGGTTTCCTGCCATGCCGCGCTTCTTGGGCCCAGGCTCCGTGCGGTGGAGCAGGAGTTCTCGACCCTGGCAGAGAAACTCGAGCGGGTCAAGGGCCAGGCCAGCTAGCAGCAGCGCAGTCCGTTACAATCCGGAAAGTGCGCTTTCTCCATGTGAATCTGTGCTCAGGGCATTTCGCATTCGTGGAAGATCCCTCACTGTCTCCGAAGGCTTCGGTATCTCTCGTTGCACCAGACTCAGGTGAAAAGAGAGTTTGGGTGGAGTCGCGCTTGGGCACCTGAGCAGAGGCTGGCAGAACCAGGCCTGTGGCTGGACTCGGAGCGCTTCTACTTGGGTGGACTGGGGCCGCCAGACGCCCGGGCTGACTACACGTAGCTCATGGGCTCCTTTGAAGAATGACACTCTGAAGTTTGAGCTTCTCCGGGTGGAGATCACTGCTCGCATGATGCAAAGAATTGGAGTATTCGAGCCATCTGCGCGATGAGAGGAAACACCTCCCGCAAGGTCTGAGAGCAGTTGACAGTTGATGCGGTGTTTTGGCGGCAGCTGCGAAACTTACCTCACGATTCGAGGGATGACTCTGTCCTGCGAGCTCTCTGCGGGAGCTCGGTCGGATTTGAACGCTTGCTTGTATGCCCTCCGTGCTTGAATGATGATCGAACTTAAAAGTCTTCGAGCCGCTCCGGCCATGAGACTAAACGACCTTCCCGCAAGGTCTGAGAGCATGGCTTTAATTGCTTGTAACCGTGGCGTCTTCCGGAAGCTGCAGAGAAGTGCTTTCGTGACTTCTGCGCACCAGGCACAGTGTCTTGCGCCGCTTTTGGCTGAGGTTGGAGATGCGGCTTTACGCCAAAGGACTGCGAGGTGGCGACGGGCGATGGCCTCGACCTTCAGCTCTGAAGCTCAAACTCTGTGTTCCACGCGGCCATGCAGCGACTGCAGTGAGACGATCGGATATGTTCACTGTTGGCATGATCGGGTTTGGGACTCTGTTTCGGCCAAGGCAATGTTCGCTTGCCCTGCGCTTGCCTTCGGAGGCAATTCTAGTGAGCATGTGCGCCACTTTATCCTTTCAGCTGTGTGGTATCTGCGAGGCCGCTGCAAAGTTTGCTCTCCCCATGATGGTAGACCTCACTGCCAACCCGGCATGGACATCCTTGAGCCAGCTCTCCTTTTGTACGTCTCAGAAAGATGCAAGGTTGCAGGGCATACGACTCGAGCCGGCCAAACCACAGACCCTGAAGGCCCTTGCCGAGCAGCCGTAGATCCAAAACGACGCACTGCAGTACTCGATGTGGACCTCGTTCCTTGCTGCCTTGCCTGGTAGGCAGTGACTGCATCATCTGGCTCGCCGAGTCTCTGGGCCTCCTCGAAGATCACCTGGTGTCGCCCCCACAGCACGCTCCCTCTCGCACAGCTCGGCCATCTATGCACCTCTCAGGCTGATGAACTCGCTGACTTGTCCCTTGCGGCTGAGCTGCCGCAGCCCAGCGACAGATTGGTAGTTCTCGCCCTTTCCCCTGCACTTCGTCTCGCGCAGGCTGCTGCCGGCACCAGCTTTACTGGCCAGCTGCGCAAGCTGCCCAACTTTGTCGCCTCCAGGGACCCGAGGACCCTCTGGGATGCTTCTCTTCTTGCGGCTACTGTACGGCACTGCACCAACTGCTTCCAGATGACCTCTGCACTGTTGACGGCACCGAGGAGGTGTGCCGGTTGTACAGCAAAGAGCGCTCAATACCCGAAGCATACCGAAATGAAAAACTGGCAGGCTGCAACTGATCCGCTGGTGGCACTGTCGCTGGGATCCTGGTGCCGGAAGGATCTCGCATCAAGTTCTGTGGTATATGAGTGTCGAATATCCTGCAAAGGTCAACGGCTCGGGCGAGAGATGTGCGCGGTGTGGCGCAGGCAACGTTCAAACAGTTTCCGTCGGTACGGCCGCGAGCACTGCAAGGGACAGGGTTTTGTCTTTGTTGCACAACGTCACTATGTGACATGAAAACAAGCTGGATCACCCATCCCGGGGCTCCTCTGTGACCTTGCACATCGGCCCTTGGAGGCAGATGTGACAAGCTCACCTGGCGTACACTTGCACTATTCCACTGCTTGCAGTTTGTCTGCTGGTGTCGGATGTGCATCGGAAATCTGAAGGTTGTCAATGTTTGGATTCGTTCGCTCTCAATCTCTCCCGGACCCGTCGGCCTGTGCTATGGGTCAGTCTGCTGTCCTTCCGTTTCTTCGGTGGCATGTCCTTCAAATCCAGTCAGTGATACCCGCAGGAACCCGGCCGTGCGTGCATGCACAACTACATGACACGTATACATACGTACATAGAGACATAGACACACAGACACATAATGCATACACACACATACATACATGTATGCATACACACAGATGTGTATGCATACACGCATGACTACAGAAACACATGCATCCCGTGTGTCGTCATATGATTTGGAGTGAGGTGTTGTGATCTCAATTCGCCCTCGATTTTTGTCCCACGGATGCCTGGGAGCTGTGGCGAGAGCGCTCTGTGTCGATGTAGGTTCCGGTGCGAGGGAACGAAGCTGTGCCATGACCCCAGAGAGCTCGGGCAAGGACTTCCGATGTTCGTTTGGCGCGTTGCACAGGTCGGCGGCGGGGACAGGGGCACCGCTCCCTACGCTGCTGGGGACGACGGAGTGCCAGCCCAGTCTGCCCCCGAGCCCCCAATGGCTCAACCGGAGTGCGACTCTCCACTTTTCGACTGTTGCATCCGCACGCGATTCAATACCTGGCAAGGTGGAGTGTTTGCGCTTCGCAGCTCATGGGGGGCTTCCTGCACTCTGCCGGTGAGCAAGGCGTGCCTGCGTGCCTCGCTCATGTTGTCTCGTTGTCTCCCTCTTCACATCTTCACGTCTGGCAGGCCTCTGGTCCCTTCGATGAGCAAATCTCACCCTTGGGGTCTCTCTTGGGCCATGGACAAAGGACTTTCTGCATGCAGACACGTGCAGCTCTTCCGTGCCTTTGCCGCATCTCAAGGAATCCAGTGGCCATTCCTGCAGACGATGCAGCCAGATAGGCCCGCAAAGGCCTTGTTTGTAATTTCCAGCAAGGGATGTCTGCTCTCCCGCAGCCAAAGTCGATGCGCGGCGAGCAAAAGGAAGTGAATTGCAAGGAGGTCAAGAGGTATCTTACCGAATCGAACCCTTCAGTGGCTGATGCAGCTCGACAGCATGTGGCAAAGTGCAACTTCTCTTGTCACTCCCGACCGCGTCCTTCTGCAGCATTTTTGCGAGTCAAGCAGCAGCCATGACGCAGCCGCCTGGACGTTTCTCACGGAGATGGGCCTCGCCCAGGCCGCCCGGCGGGTAAAGGCACGTTGGAATCTCCGTCCCCTGGGCTCTGAAAACCTCGAGGCCATGGCCGAAGCTGCTGCGCTGCTGTGCTCTGCTTGCTCTACTGGCCGCTTGGAGCACTCGCTTTGCACAAGTCTAGTTTTGCAGCGAGCGTTTCTGCTGGGCGCCAAGAGAGGCCTTGGCCGCGAACTCGCTTTCGAAGAGGTGCATGCAGATTCGGTTTGGAAACGTTGCTGATCACTGGTCATTGCAGGTTGCTCGACTCGTTCTGACATCCTGTGCAGGACGTTCTCGTTCGGTAGCGGTACACCGCAAGCCCGCAAGTCGGAGGTTGGATCTCGGACCGTCGGAGTGGCGCCACGGTTAGTCACTGTCCCTTCTGCCAGGCGGTGGTTCACGGTCCGGTGCGTGGCCCTGCAGAGAAGAGAGTCGAGGAAGCGGTTCAAACATCTGCCTGTAAGATGAAGAAAAAACCAGTCGTCGGAGGAGCCCGCCTTCTTCGACTCCATTCTGGAGAGCGTCCAAACTTCTGCCAGGGTGCTACCCCGTTTCGATTGCCCTGCAGCGTTGTGCCTCTGCCACCTCCAAAGATGTGCGAATTCTTGGCCAATGTGCAGGCCAGATAAGTTGAAGGGTGAGGTTTTGGGAAATTGGTGTTCTTCGTCGTTCTGGCGAGTTCCGACGCTCCGCAGCACTTCCGGAAGCGAAGCCGTCTTGGCTCAGGATTAGCTGGAGTTGCAAGTTGATGAACGTCATGGACTTTTACGCACCAGTTGGAATTTGAGGCGAACTTACGCTAGATGGCTACGATGGCTACAATCTCATATGTCACAGAGAACCAGAATCTTAAACAATGCAGCATCGTATGGAGACGGACAGCTTTGGTACGACAAGGCCGACAACGAACCCTTGAGCTAAGCCAGCACTCAGCGATTCCCTTGCCGTCGAAGTTACGGGCATCTCCGAAACAAGATTTTGGACCGGTCTTTTGCCGCTCGTTTTCGCATCATATTGGATGACCGGAGGGCCACTATGGGAGGTGAGACGCCCCGTCTGCACGACCTCAGTGTTCAGCAGTGGCAGCGACGAGCCTTGGCAGGTCATCGGTGGATCCGGCGGCGGCGGGATCCTGGTGCGTGAAGGCTCGACATGCCCTTCGCCACCTGAAAAGTCTCCTGGCTGCGAATCGAAGGTGAGAAGCTCTCATCTGCTGAGCTTCCCTCACGACTCGCCAACGGTGCCATCATCAGGCAGAAGGACTTCTGACTGTCTGGGATTCCACTTTCAGGCATTTTCTCCAGGTTACACTTGGCAGGAGCTGAAAGGTGAGCGACTTCATTTCGAGCTTGTGGGTGGCACCGGGCCCAATGCTGGCTGGGTCAGTCTGAAGGTGAAGGCTCACCACCCGTTGGCGACGCCTAGACCTAGCACAGAGTAGGCTTGGTGTTCGCAGCTGCTCCTGGGCAGGGTCGCGACCTGCTTCGAGCAGTTCCAAAGGAAGGCATCAGACCCGCACGAAAATCGAAGCCGGACTGGAGAGCTGTCGTGGCTTCGATTCAGGCCTGCCCTGGTGGCTGAATCCGAGCCGCGTGAAGGGCACCATTCTCTTCCTCTCCATCCCCTGGAAGGCCCTGCCTTTGCTGTGTCGCATTTCACAGAGGTCGTTGACAGCTAGACATGGCAGGGACACATCGTCCACTTGCGACGCATAGGCCCGATGCACGGCAGAAAAAGCGTGTTGCTGTGCCTTCCAAGCGCTTTCAGAGGACTCTGGTTCGTCGGACGTCCTGGTTTCAACGTGCACTTCGCGTGTTTTCCGGAAGACGAGGCATCGATGCGGGTGTGTGCATAGGAGAAAGATCGCGGCAAGTATCCCAGGCCGAGCTGAAGAAGCTGGGCTTCACCGTTCATGCTGCAGCCTCGACAGCACCACACTTTCAGTCTCGTGTCCTTGATCCGTGCGAATGTCTTTGACAGACACATGTAGCCATGAAGCCTCCCGTCAGGTTACCGAGGGAGACGAGCGCGTCACCTCGGAGTTTTTTCAACTCATGGAGGCACGCGAAGCAAAGAGCAGCAACTGCAGCACCACAAGGGTTCTCATTCAAACTTGTGGGTGTCGACAGCTGGGTTGTTGAAGGCCTCTCCGAAAGGCTTCTCAGCGCGTCTGCGGGAGCTTCTTGCACGTTGACGCAAGCGCATGATATGGCTGCGACCAGCTATCCTGAAAAAAAGCGCTCCGCTGCCCACACCCATGATCCCAACCCCACACCCGAAACTGTAAAAACCCAGCCCCCGAAATCTGAAACCCTGACCCTAAACCACAAGCTCTAAGCCGAGAGCTTAAACCCAAACCCCAGACCCGAAAGACGAAAACACGAAACCAACAGGAGAAACGTGATGCGGTCGGTCAGCACAAAGATGTGGCTGACCGAAAATGTGTCCCGAAGCCCGAAGCCCCAAAGCCAAATCCCAAACCGTAAGCCAGGGGCAAGACAAGATACCAATAGTTGGGGAATTCCGTTCTGTCGTGGCAGCGGGATAGCCTGCTCGGGCTCACGGCCTGTCGAATCAGGCTTGCCAGAAGTTTCGGCACGACTTGCCCATATGGGCCAATGCACTGAACCGATGCGAAACAGGCAAAACTGTCATTTCAGAGACAAGCAAGCTTCGGAGTGGCAGTTTGACAGAAGGAAATCTGCACGAAGCGTGTTCCGTGTGGAAGAAGACCCCATTTTGGAGTCGAAAAGGCTGCTTGCTTCTATAATCTCTGAAATTCAACAAAACTACCAGCGCATGGATCTACTTGCCTGGCTTGCCAAGCGAAGGGACAGCAGGCAGATCCAGCAGAAAGTCAAGCATCCGTTGGTGAGTTATTGGGCAGCGCATAGGCATGACAAGCCCCCACATTTTGCGGTGCCAAAAATCCTGCGCCACGCCAACAGTTCGAGTCCCCTTTTGCCGAGCCAGGACGGGTTTCGGGAAGTTGCCAGAAGCCCTGGCGACACCGAACAGGAAGAAGGTGGATCCTCCATGTTCAGCTTTGCGCTCAGGCCGGGCCGCCGTGCCCTAAGTGACTTGCTGCTTGAGCTGTCCGGCAGGGGCATGGCGCAGTTTGTAGATAAAGCCCAGGACGGGTCGGGTCTTTTGAAGCCTCAGTACATGTCGGTGCCTCCTGTGCCACTCTGTGCCGGCATCAGAGATACTTTCCCAGGACCCAGCTTGCAAAGTGTATCAGCCCTCCAAATGCCCGAGAACACCAGCATTCAACAAGATCTGAAGCAAGAGATACGGCAAATATTCGACAGTGCCGCATTGGTAAGCTTGAGTCCGTCAATCCGGAATCTATGCTTCATGCTGGCTGCCTCGCAGGACCCACTGGCATCCTATTTCTCCTTTTGTTTACGTACTCTCTGTGCCTTGGGCTGCAGAGAGATGATGGCTTGGTGTTGAGGGCGTTGGGACCGGGTTGCTTCAGAATGCAATATGAGCTTGAGTTCATCCAACTTGGCTAGGCAGCATGTAATTTTTTCACTGTTGTTATGTACATCCATCGGAAGCTGGATGAAGTATTTTCGCATCAGGTTTCGAGAAATCCAGAAACATTCTGTGCGCCGCCTGCCAAGGTGCAGTCAAGCCTGATGTCCGGAGCTCAAGCGAGGGAAATTTCTCCTGAAGAGCTCAGCTCTGCCCTGCACGCAGGTAGTGGTTTGTGACAACTTCTGCTCGACAACGGCGACGTGTCTGCAGAAGTGGACATTTGGTTCCTGCAATAGCTGCATTGCAACTTCCGAGTCAAGCTTGAAAGCAATCTTGGCAAGCATTTGCGTTGGTGAGTCTTAAGAGACACCTTCAACAGAAGGTTTTCGGGGTTTGCATCACCACCTAGCTGCCCCGTCGCGGCAGACGGACAACGTGCTGCCACAACGAACGTCAGGAGGCCCACCCACTCAGCTTCGGTCAGAGCACGTTGTACTTGAAACGCTGGAGCTACTCAGACATAGCGGCAGATTGCTGGTCTACGTGATAGGAAAGGAAGCCAATCTTCCGCGTAGCAAAGAGAAGAGAGGTGGCCGCTGAAGTTCCAGAAGGGAAGATGATCTGGTCTGTAAAGCCAATGATGCAGAGATGAGTGGAATGAGAGGGGTTGATAAAGGTCTAACATAACATGTATGCATTTTCATGTACAGACCGGGACGTTGTGTTGAGTCGGTTTGTGGCGATTGTAGACTTCATCATTTTCGCAAGTGTTCGGAGCCGGATGCTGCCGTATCTCCCTCGCTCGGAGTCCTGAACTCTTAATTTGCCTTGGATCTCTCAGGCTTTAATTCCTGCCTGGTGCTACGCGGAGGGTGTCAGCTTCATTCCGGTGCAATCACCTGGAATCCCCGAGGTGCCCAAGCGGCTTGGTGGAAGGAGTGTCAAATAGCAAAGCAGCCTGCGAGGACCACACGCACCTGAAAGAGGGGCCCAAGCCAGAATCGCAGCTTCCAAGCAACTAACTGAAATGCCCACTGGCACCCATTCTCCCGACGAGATCTGTCTCCTGTAAGGAGTGATCCCGCGAAGAAGTTGCCTCCCGAAGTGATGGCCAAGGCCGGTTGTGACAGTTGTCTCGCTGCAAAGGTCGAAGGTCGAAGTAGACTTGACCCATGGCTTGAGGCGACCGGCTTACCAGTGGAGGTGATCAAGGCCTTGGATGAAGGAAAGGATCCCAGCCAACTCCCGCAGGCGGGTCACAGTGAGAGAAGTCTGGTGCCAGAGATCCAAAGGAGCGTAAGAGCATTAAGAGCGTTAGAGGCCAACTCGCAGAACATGACCCTCTTCGGACTCACTGCCACGGCGAGAGGCTTAGGGCCGATCTCCAGCATCGGCCTCGGCTCCAAGCCTCCCTTCCTTAGCTGAGCTCAGATTCAAGCGATTCCACCAGAGTTTATCGGCATGATGACTGGTCCCTTGGCGAAGAAGCTCAAGCTGCCCATCAAGGCTGGCACCTCGAGGATCAGCAGCTGAGCCTTCGCAGACCGTTCTTGAGGTAGCAAACTCGGTGCTCAAGAACCTTCCAAACGCGACCTACTTGGCCGAGCTCTACCCAAGCACCAGGCTGCCTCCAGCAGCAACCAATGATGGCCCGGCTGCATGGGAATCCGCCAGGAGCGTGGTGGGGCAGCAAGAGAACAGGTTTCCAGCGGAGTTGTGTCGCTTTTCGCGTGCTCTTCAAATGATGTTCAGCAGCCTGGGAGGGAACGCAGCCTCTTCACAAGCCCGCTGCTGCCACTTCCTGTGCCACTGGAGCTCGAGAGTCGCACAGCGTGTGTAGGCTGTGCTGGGGGTTTCCATTTCACAAGCCCAGCTGTCAAGAGTTGTGGAAGGAGAACGGCGAGCTGCAGCGGGATCGCGAGACGTTCAAGGCTGTGATCTAGGACGTGGAACAGTGGAACCTAAAAGCGAAAAAGCGGCAGCGATTCGTAGCAAAGCGAGGCTACATTGTCTACGGTGGACGAGGACCTCCTGCAATGGTTGTTTAGCCTTGGCCC